CTAGAGCGCTGGAAAATAAGATGCTCTACTTCCGACATATCGTAATGCACCCAGGTTCATAAAGTATGCTATAATATATAGTATAAAGTAAAGTATGCTCCTAACCTTGTTAATCTATGCAGTCCACCCTGCATCAGCAGACTTTGACCATGTCCATAGCGCGACAGCATATCAGCCATAGTGCCATTTTCACTTCCAGATGCTAACATCAGATGAAGAATTGAGACGGAAACATCAGGGGAATCGTAGAGAATCTAAAGATCAAGCAGGAACTTGAAATGGATTTTAAGGCGCTACTCAGGGCAAAACTTGAATTAAAATAGGTCCCTTCAAAATGTTATCTGATTTTACCCACCTGAAGAAGCCGATTCGCAGTGTCGGTTTCTGCTCGGCTAGTATGTTGATTTGCTAAATAGTTGTGGACATTTTGTGTTGCTAAACTCCTTATCGCTGGCGATGAGAGCACATCGTCAAAACTATGAGGGATGGAGAGAAGTCCGGCTTGCCTTGAATCCAATTTCTATCCAGAATTTCTTTTTCAGACGGAAATCTCAACCTTACCGTTTTGTTCGTCGATAACCACGAATGTTCAATGTCCGTGTACCACAGTTAGACTGTGTATACATGGTAAGTCCTATCTCATTGGCTAAGTCGATCAACTCGTTAGCATATGGTGAGATAAAATAGGATCCTGAAACGGAATTTCAAGGAGTTTACTTTCTTTCACCCAAATTTTGGTAGAAGAGCGATAATACAAGTATAAGGATTCTAAGGAAATAATTCTCTGCTAACCTTAAGTGGACTAACGTCTGTGTATAATTTGGGTATGTTTGATTATCTCTGTTGCAAATGTATTCACCAACTATAGGAGGTTTTGCAGGATAGTAAAAGCATCCGCGCATACTTACTGCGCCGCGACCGCTCGCTTTGAAGTTGCGGACGGCAGACGGTCATGAAGATTTCCAAAATTTGAGAACGGTTAAACTTTTAGTAAACCTCTTTTTGCATCGTTGTTAAGATTTCCCAAACCACTTGCCCTTTTTCGGAATCGGTAATATTATTTCTAGTTAATAAGCCATATCTTAAGAAAGCGAAGTTTTGAAGATCTTATTTTTTAAGATTTTAACGTTCATCTGATTGGAAGTTTTTATGCCCTATTGATAACTTAATTTAGGATATTAATTTAATTGCTGAAATGGACTCAAAGAATTTAGAAATACAAATTAGAAATTTTAGCAAAGAACCAATACGGAAACTTACCTGTATCTAACAATGCATTTCCTTCCGCAGTCCGCATTGTTTTCGCTCGAATTCGCCCTCCAACCTTAACATCATCAATTGGAGCTGCAATCATGGTGGTATTTATATGTACACATTCCTTACCTCACTCCTAGCCTCAAGAACTTTCACCCGAGCATTCGGTGTCCTTTTTCTAAGCTCTCGTACCGCGTTTAATCCAGTGAGACCGGC